GATTTTCATGGTGGGCCATTGATGTGGTAGCGCTGAGACTTAGCCCTTAGGCCACCAGGGGAGGGCCATAGAAGTAAGTTTAATCATTGTAGCAAGGAAAAGTATTTAACAACTCCCATCTTCTAAAATATTAAAGTTACTCCACTGAAGGAAAGGAACTGGCACTTCCACAATTATGATTCTTGAAAACTTGTCATTTTAGAGTCTTCAGCATTCCTAAATAACTTTTTTCTGACTTTTTTTATTTAAATATCCCAAAATAGCCTTTTAAGCTGTAAGTTTGATGATCCAGGAAACTATTTATAGTAGGATGAGTAGTTGTACTTTGAAAGGAGAAATCATTAAAAAGAATGATAGGATGAATGGTATTTTTAATTGAAAGCAGTGCCAAGGCAAAAAAGGCAGTTAGGTATTTGGAATATAAAAAGATATGGATGTAATTTTTGTCAATTTAGTTAAAGGTGGGGAGACTTCCCACAAGAAACAAGACGGAGATACTGTGTAATACAGATGATGTCATTTTTTCTGTAGATTAGACACATCAGCTAAGGACAGCCTGGACTGTTTGTCCAGTGCTTAATAACCCAGGCAGACAGCTGGAGATAGGATACTTTGTCATAGTTAAGGCAGATACTGGCCTTGTTATTATCAGTGTTCCCTTCAATAGAAAAATAAGAGATAGAGGAAGGTAGGTTGAGGTCAACCTGATTTCTCTTACATAAACTTTTTTTTTTTGTGATTAGATAATTTATCATTTTAACCATTTTTATGTGTACCAATTAATGGCATTAAGTACATCCCCACTGTTGTACAACTATCACCTCTATCCATCTCCAGTAATTTTTCATCATCTCAAACTGAATCTCTACCTATTAAACAATAACTTTCCATTCTTCCCTACCCAAAAATTCCTGGCATCCACTATTCTTCTTTCTGTCTTGAGTTTGTCCATTCTAGTTGCCACATGCAAATGAAATCACACAAAACTTCTTTTGTGTCTGGGTTCTTTCATTTAGAATAATGTTGTCAAGAGTATCCATGTTGTAGCATATGGTGGAATTCTGTTCCTTTTTAAGGATGCAATAATAATCCCTAGTTATATGTGCATATCCTATTTTAAAAATCCACTCCTGTGTCCCCTCAAAAAACTCTACTTTAAAATAAAGCAAGGGTCTCCCTGGTGGTGCAAGGGGTTAAGATGTAACCTCTGAAGCTATCCGCAGCCACTGCAGCACAAGTTCGAGCCCAGTCCAGGGGGCTACCCACATGGTGCAGCAGACCTCTCTCGTCTCCCCCGCTGCTCCCCTCAGCAGTGTATTTCTGTCAATCTGCCTGTTCTGTTCCCCACTCTGTCTCTGGTGAATCCTCTCACTCCTCACACCTGTAGCCTGTACCCTAGTTCTTGTATGCATAAATATTACTCAGCAATCAAAAAAGATAAAAAGATAATTTGCAGCAACATGAATGGAGCTGGAAGGGATCATGCTCAGTGAAATAAGCCAGAAAGAAAAAGAAAAATAGCAGATGGTCTCACTCACAGCAGGAATTTAGAAAACCTAAATAAGGGACAAGGAAAAAGACTAATTATAATAAAGTAAAAATTAAATAAATAAATCTTCAAAAAATAATAAAATAAAGCAATAGTATTTATTTGAGAACAGGGAACACAGTTTCAGGTCACAGCCCAATTTGTAGCTTGCTAGGATGGTTCTTTGTTAAAAGGTTTTTAAAAAGGACAAAAGTGGCAGGGAAAGATAGAATTGCAAAAGCTGTTTTCCAAGAATTAAGATTCTTCAGACTTCATTGGCTTTTAGTCAAGCTGGCCTTGCTTACTGTGGAGAGAAGAAAAAGAAAATAAAATTATCTTTTCACCGCTTTGGGTGAAGGCCATGCCTGCTGGAAACTGGTTCTTGTCAGGCAGTAGTCTTAAAAAGTTAAAAATCCAGTAAGGGTTTCGAGCACAAAACAGAGCTGTTTACTCTGTTCTGAACATCCTTTTTTCACACATGCATCAATGGACATTTGGGTTGTTTCTACCTATTGGCTAATGTGGTTAGTGCTGCAGTGAACTTGGGCGTCCACATTGATCTCTGCTCTCTGGGTTTTTTTTTTTTATATAGAGGCATGTTTTTATTTATTTATTTGTTTGTTTGTTTGTTTATACATGCACTGGGTACAGTCAGAAGCGCGGGAGGGTGAGAGAATTCACCAGAGCCAGAGCAGGGAGCAGAGCAGGCAGAAGGACCGAAGTACACTGCTGAGGGGAGCAGCGGGCGGCAGGAGAGGTCTCCGCGCCATGTGGGACCCTCCTCTGGTGGCCGGGGAGCAGCGGGGGATCGAACCGGCTCCGCAGAGGCTGTGGGCAGCTTCGCAACCCAGAGCTCAACCGCTGCGCCACAGGGGAGGCCCCCTGCTCTCTGTTTTTTAAAGCCATTTCTTTGCTCTGCTTTCCTCTTGACAGCATGCTCTCCCCACCTTCTCCAGCAGTACTCCAGCACTCCCTGAGTCCTAGGGCAAGTTAGGGTTAAGGAGGCAGCTACAGGGACAATGCAGGTAGGGATTTCTGGCAGTTACAGAGCCTTCTGAGATAAGGACAGAGAAATCCTGGAGGGCAAATGAGAGCAGTAAATTTTAAGAGACCTTGGATAGGAAAAGTAAAGGAGAAACTCTAAGAGCTGGGAAATTGGGCACATCTGCCCTGAGGAATATGGCCACTGGGAGAGAGAGCCAATCACAAAGTTGGATGAGATTTCAGAATGGAGAAAAAAGTTTAAATATCCCCTAGAAACCCGCCCATAAAGGCTTCTTTTTCCCTCCCAGATACAGTGCACCCGGGAGTCCTTGCTTTCTTTAAATAAACTGTTCTTTACTTTCTTGAATAAAGTTTGCTTCTCTGTACTTACTTTTTTAAAAAGTCTGTGGCTTCCTTTCTAGGGCTTTGTAGGACAAGAACCTGTGGTGGTTCAAGGGCTAAATTCCTGGTTTTCACAGCTAGACCAGGTGAAAAAAGCAGCAGCCCCAGTAGCTGCAGGAGTGGTTAACAGTGCACACCCACTCCATCACTACTAGTCCTTGCAGACAAGGACAGGTTTAGTTAAGCCAGAGTGAGAACTGTGTGGTAATTTGAGTTTAAAGACAAAAAATGTGGGCTTAAGACATTGTTCCCAGATGGAAGTAGTAATAGGAAAAGTAGATTTGGGACAATGTACTTTCTTCTTTGCTTATTCACTTTATTAAGTGCTCTGATTTAATTATTCTAGCCCTGAGTTTGATATATTGATTCCTCTTCTTTAAGTTCCCATGTAGGAAAGCTCTCTCGCTGGTTTTTCCAGCTAGGAAGGACTCTATCATTTTACTGAGTGGTCCTAGTTCCCACCATTCTGTGCATAGAATACCTGCCACTCTACTGGAATCTCGTTAACTTGTCTAGCTCTTGAAGTGGTGGATTCAGGTTTTGTGGGGTTGAAGTTTATATACTGTTGGGGGCCCTTATTAAAGAAAAAAAAACCCACAAAGCAAATACATTGAACAAGAAATCACAACAAATTACCTAAGACTTGGATTTATAGTCCCCTTTTTTCTGAGATCGCTTTGTCACTTTGAGCAGATACTTATGAGGAATTGCTTCCTGAGAGCAAGTTTGCTATTCCTTCCCACCTGAAAAACTCGGTTATTCTCATTAAGAACTCCCCATTCCTTTTTTTTTTTTTTCCCAAAGATTTATTTATTTATTTATACAAGCACTGGGTACAGTTAGAAGCGCCAGAGTGTGAGAGAGTTCACCAGAGCCAGAGCGGGGAGCAAAACAGGCCGACTGACCTAAGTACACTGCTGAGGGGAGCAGGGGGCGAGACAGGAGAGGTCTGTGCGCCATGCGGGACCCTCGCCAGCTGCCAGGGATTGAACCGGCGCTGCAGAGGCTGTGGGCAGCTTCGCAGCCCAGTGCTCAACCGATGCACCACCAGGGGAGCTCCCCCCCACTTTTTAAAAAGATGTACTTATTTATACATACAAGAGCTGGGGTACAGGCCAGAGGTGCAGGGGGTGAGAGGATTCACCAGAGACAGAGTGGGGAACAAACAGGCAGATTGACTGAAATATACTGCTGAGGGGAGCAGCGGGCAAGACAGGAGAGGTCTGCTACGCTATGTGGGTTGCTTCCTGGCCAGCCGCGGATCGAACTTGTGCTGCAGTGTCTGTGACTTTCTTCACATTGCTGTGCTTAACCCCTTGCACCACCAGGGAGGCCTTAGAACTCCCTATTCTTAATGAAGCTTAAGATTCGTTAGCTTCATAAAAGGGATCTAGGTAGCATGTAGGCTATGTCTCTTGCATCCAGCTCAGAACGGTTCCTTGATATATATCGAAAGCTGAAAGGCTTAGGTCATGCAGGCACCTCACTCTGATCTAAGGATAACTTTAGAGAACAACGAGCAAGGTGAAACGAAAATACAAGGCGTTGGGAATGAGAGGGAATGCCTCCTCTCGGCTGCAGAGGGCGCTGTCTTTGACTTTGACAGAGTCCGACCTCGGGCCTTGTTCAGGGCCGCCTTCCAATGGCGGCCATCTCGTTTGCCGTTTAACCTACCACGAAGGGAACCAGAGAGGGTCCCTTGAACTTTGGCGATGAGCTCCCATTGGGGCGGCGAGCAAAAGATGGGGCGCAGGAGGTCCCACCACCGGAAGTTTCTTTGAGATAAAGAAACAAGGAGGAAGGAGACCAAAGCCGCTTCCTAAGTGTTTCGCCTAAAGCCGACTCCCCTATTTTCCTCAGGAAGGGGAAACGCTCCGCTGCTCTTAACGGGAAGCCTCGGCGGCGGGTTCTGCGCGCAGTCGCAATCGGCCAGCTCGCCTCCCATCCAGCTTCGAGCGGCCATGACAGTTCCCAGGTTCCCGAGCCTGGACGTGACGTAAGCACGTCCCGGGGGCGAGATCTCAAAAGGAGCCGCCGCCGGGCTGAGGTCTCGCGAGGACATCCACGTCCGTCGCAGTTCTCGCGCTGCACCTTGAATCTCGTCGCAACGAGATCCTTCGAGATCTTCTCCGCCCCCGCTACCGGCGTCCCCTTTGCGGCCGCTGAGCCGGAGCCGGCCTGAGCTGAGTCGTCCGCTGCGGTTTTCCTTCCGAGGACCCGGGCGCTCGCGTAGACACCCGCGGCCCCCTACAAGCCCAGGCCCCGCGGCCCACGCGGCCTGCTCTCCGCGCGCTATCCCCGCCGGGGTCCGTGTCCTGTCTCGCCGGCCGGACCCGGGCTCGAGCCCGAGCTGTAGCCGGCGCCATGTCGGTGGTGGGCATAGACCTGGGCTTTCAGAGCTGCTACGTCGCTGTGGCCCGCGCCGGCGGCATCGAGACCATCGCCAATGAGTACAGCGACCGCTGCACGCCGTGAGTGTGGGCCTGGCCGGCCGCGTGCACAGGGGGTTGGGAGGTGGCGCCTCCCGGCTCTGCGACCCTTGCGGCTTGGGGAACGCGGGCCGGGAGTCACCTCGGTTCCGAACCGAGGGCCCAGTGGGCGGGGGAGCTCCTCTGGGTGCCATGTGTCTACTGCCACGACCCGCCGTGTGGGGTGTGCGCCAGGGGCGAGGCTCAGCGGAGGCTGTGAGCGGATTCTCAGACCCGCGGAGGGCACGGGCAGGAGCCTGGAGGGAGGGCAGGCCTGCATGTGAGATGGATCAGGGTACTCTTCAGAGGGCAAAGACTTGACCCAGTGGTGCTGGAGCCAACACTGACTTCTGAACTTTGCACACAGCAGGCGTTTAATAAAAGTTAGTTGAATCGATGGGTTTCTGGCGGCTGCCGGCGGCAGGTTGGTAGTGGAGCCCGAGTCCCACGTGAGTGGGGGCGGGGCGGCGCCCGGAAGAGAGGGAGCCCGAAGACCCGAGGCTGCGGCTCGGAACGGACCGTGGGATGCCGCGGACACGTTTCAGCAAAACATTTCATGCAAACGATGCCCTCTTGCTACCTCTGCAGTCACCTTGGCTTTTCATGTCGTTGCAGTATATTGAACTGCGTTGGGTGATTTTGTGCTATCGTTTGTGCACATCCATTCCTTACCAGGGTTCCACTTTCACTGTAATACCTTCCAACCTGGGTGTTGGCCGCAATTGTTAATGAATGACTCAGGAACTCACTTGACTTCCTATAGTAAGTTAATGGTACCGGTATAGGCACAGCTCTAAAAAAGCATGACTCAACCAGGGCCTTTCCTTGGTTAGAGTGTACTTTTTGAATATCTGGAGATACCTTTTCATCCATTGTCTTGCTCTCGGAAAACAGGTTTTAAGTTTTCTATTATTTGCGTGGCTGTTAGTGTGGCTGTTGGAGGACTTAAGATTTATCGCCCGTTTTCATTGTGAACTTCTGTCAAGATGCTTCCAGCCAGCTAGCCAAATTAGAGTGCTACGAGCCTGATCTTTGCTATCTCTAAAGCTTACAACCTTTCCCTTCATCTTGTCAAATTCTGCTCATTACTTCAGACCCAGTTCCGGTGCTTCCCCTGAGCCCAAAGCTGTAATTTCTTAAACCTGTTTTCGATTTTGTTTGAAGCTTTCAGTCTCTTTTTTGAGATTAAACGCACATGCTGTACAGTTTTAAGCACTAAAGTTTTTAAGTATTTAAGCGTAAATTTTATTTAGATATTGTTTTCCTTTTTGGATCTAGCTACCTTCATCTGTAAAAGTAGTGTTACTTAAGGAATTTACTTTGAAATATTTATTTTATTTATGCGTACAAGAACTGGGTGTAGCCCAGAAGTTGGGGGTGGAGAGGATTCACCAGAGACAGAGTGGGGAACAGAACAGGTGGATCTACTGAAATACACTGCTGAGGGGAGCAGCAGGCGAGACAGGAGAGGTCTGCCGTGCCATGTGGGTCAGCTCCCTGGCCGGGGATTGAACTCGTGCTGCAGTGGCTGGTGATAGCTTGATAGTGCTGAGACTTAACCCCTTGGGCCACCAGGGAGGCCCTTTTTAAGGAATTTTAAAAGGTTGGAGTATCATGCTGAGCATGTAACTTGGTCTTTTTCTGCCTTGAATTGAAAATACTTTAGCTCCAAAGAGGAGAGAACCAAATATTGAATGACCAGTGTTCCTGTCCTATTATTTATTTTTTGAAAAAGATTTATTTTTGGGCCTCCCCGGTGGCGCAGCGGGTTGAGCACCATGCTGCAAAGCTGTCCACAGCCTTTGCAGCACGGGTTCAATTCCTGGCTGGCCAGGGAGATAACCCACATGGTGCCCTCAGCAGTGTCCTCTGTCTTGTTCTTCTCCCAGCTCTGTCTCTGGTGAATCCTATTATTCCCCCCCCCCCGCCCCCCACTTCTGGCCTACACCCAGTTCTTGTATAAATAAATAAATCTTAAAAAAAAAATTATTTTGGGCCTCCCCTGGTGGCGCAGTGGTTGAGCGCTGGGCTGCAAGGCTGCTCGCAGCCTCTGCAGCGCCGGTTCATTCCCAGCCGCTGGTGAGGGTCCCACCCAAAAAAAAAAAAAAGATTTATATTATATATATAGATATATATATATGTGTATATATATATATATGCATACAAAAACTGGGGTATAGGCCAGAGGTGTTGGGGGTGGTGGTGAGAAGATTCACCAGAGAGAGTGGGGAGCAGAACAGGTGGATCCACTGAAATACACTGCTGAGGGGAACAGTGGGCAAGACAGGAGAGGTCTGCTGTGCCACCTGGGTTAGCTCCCTGGCCGGGGATGGAACTCATACTGCAGTGACTAGTGATATTTTGATAGTGCTGAGACTTTAACCCCAGTGCTACCAGGGAGGTCTTGTCCTATCTTTTAGACCATTATGCTTCTATAACATATTTCTTTTAGGCAAAGAGCAGCAACAACATTTTCACTGTGAATTTCATTATTTGCAACTGAGTTGTTTCTGAAAATAATTTTCTCAAATTAAAGTTCAATTTGCCTCAAAGAGGAAGTGATGGATAACCAGCTACATGATGTAACTGTGACAAGAAAATACTACTTAAATACTTTAAATGATTTCTTCTATTTTTCCTCTATAGTTTCTATTATATACTCCTCAAGAACTTAAAGAAGTGCTGTACATTCAAGTAACTCTGGTACTAGGATTTTGATTAACTTAGATTTATTTCTGTGTTGGAGTTGTGGCTAAGTAGAACATAGGTGTGGAAAAATTGATTTTTTTTTTTTTTGGTAGTGGTTCTGGGAGAATAAATTTAGATTTCAGGTACATATAGATTGTGTGATCTATGTTTTAGTGTGAGAGTGGAAATGAAGTATAGGTTCTCATGGGTTGGATAAGAACTAGAAAGTTGGAAGTACCTAATTTAAAATTGTGTAATAGACTTTGGATTCACTTTTTGTGGAGCCTGTTGAGACACCCTGGCCTTTTCCCTAAATTTAGCCTGCCTTCATTTTAGCAGGTAATTGACTGCTTCCAATATATCAGTTTTGAACTAAGCACTGGAGGTACTCTGATGAACAAATAAACAAGGTCATGCTTCATGGACATGACTAGTAGAAAAAATCAGATGCCTAACAAAAATATTTAATTATTGGATGTGAAAAAGGCCAAGTTGGGAAAGTGCAGAATATGGGGGAACCTAACTTAAATTCGTTGTGGGGTGGAGATGGTAGCTACTGTCGAAGAAGTGCCATTTAATTTGGTACCTGGGGCCTCCCCGGTGGCGCAGTGGTAGAGCGCTGGGTTGCGAAGCTGCCCGCGGCCTCTGCAGCGCCGGTTCAATCCCCGGCTGCTCCCCGGCCACCGGAGGAGGGTCCCACATGGTGCGCAGACCTCTCCTGCCGCCCGCTGCTCCCCTCAGCAGTGTACTTCGGTCCTTCTGCCTGCTCTGCTCCCCGCTCTGGCTCTGGTGAATTCTCTCACCCTCCCGCGCTTCTGACTGTACCCAGTGCATGTATAAACAAAAAACAAACAAACAAGCAAACAAATAAATAAAGAAAAACATGCCTCTATTAAAAAAAAAAAAATAATTTGGTACCTGGAGGCTGACTAGTAGTGTACTAGGCCCCTGGTGAATCTCAGGAGGAGCTGGTGGAGGGAGAAGGAATAGTAGCAAATGAGGAAGACCTGGAGGCAAGAGACCTTGGCACACTTGGCGGACTGAGAGGGCCATAGCTAATCTTGAGTCTCTTAATAGTATGAAATTAGTCTGGACAGGAGTTAGGCAGAGTGGACTAGAGTATAGTCAGGGTTTTGTAAATTAAGAATTTTTATCTAGGTATGGTGGTTAACGATGTTTACCTTTGTGCAGTAGGTAGTGATCCACTTTATATTTTAAAATGAGATTGCCTTTTTTGTGGAGAATGGCGTTACTTGAGAAGGACTAGAGAAGTAGGGTTATATACTAAAGAGGTTATTGAAATATTCAGCCTCTGTGGGAGTTGCTGTTGCCCTGCCCTAGTCTGGTGGCGTGGGAGAGAAGTGTGTGGGTGGCTTTTAGATTAATTCTGGAGCTTTAAATTACGACTGTGTGTTGACAATTTTTGAACATAGACTTTGGTTGGAATAAGATGGATAGTCTATATTTAGTTGGATCGTTAACAGAGAAGGTGCAGCTTTAAAGCTTCTTTGGCTTAAAAATGCTATTCACCAGACGAATACAAGAGGTGAACTTTATCTCAATGAATGTAATTTGGGGGGAAAATGCTATTGGACTGCTAAACATTGCAAAAGTTAACTAGGCCATGCTTTCCAAAAGGAACAAATTATAGGTAGAAATTAGTTACTTCTGAAAATAATTTTGTGTATGAATTGTTTATATTATCATTTTCATGGCCTTCCTAATAAGCCAATGTATTAGGAATCTGAAGAGATGACATTGTCTATTAATTAAACTGCCCTCACAAGAGCAGAAGCTGGAAGTATGTGTAGTTTCTGGTTTGCTGGAAGATTAACATCTGATACCTTGTGCAAAAAAAAAAAAAAAGATTCTTCTATGAAGTGTCTTTATATGTGTAGCTCTAAGGAGAGCAGGAGGATGAGTTGGATCTTTTGGATTCAAAGTAAAGTTGGTTTGTCTGCTAAAACTTCAGCTTCAGACTGCTTACACTGTTCCCCCTGATAAGTCTGACTGCAGAAGTTGTGAAAAGTTTTCTTCTTAAGTACTAACATTCAACCTTGTATTGAAAATTGGTACAGGGCCTCCCTAGTGGCATAGCAAGTTGAGCGCTAGGCTGTGAAGCTGTCCACAGCCTCTGCAGTGCAGTTTGATTCCTGGCCGGCCAGGGAGATACCCACATGGCGTGGCAGACCTCGCCTGTCTTGCCCACTATTCCCTTCAGCAGTGTATTTCAGGCATTCTGCCTGTTCTGCTCTCCCCTCTCTCTGGTGAATTCTCTCACCCTCCTGCACCTCTGACCTGTACCCCAGTTCTTG